TTGCTCATGGTGGGAACTGTTGAGTCTCTGTAAATAATTTTTATAGGGAGTACGGTCTAGCCCTACTATATTTGAAAAATAATACTATTGTTATGAATTGGCGCTATACAAATACAAATTTAACTGAATTTAATTGAATTGTTTTGCAACATATTTCACTGTATGGTCACTGCATGTTTTGGGTCTATGATAATATTTTATTGTGATTTCCAACCCTCATACTGGCTTCAGATTTGTCAGCTGTGAATAACAATTTGGTGTGTTACTGTCTGCATCGATGAGTTCTTTATATCTAAAAATCATGTCAAACCTCCCTACACACAAACTGCACACTGCACACTTGCTCAATTCCTTTTCAAAAGTGACGAATAACAATATAAATTTTAATAGGCCTCAATCTTAATAATGCAATATCTGTCTGTCACTAAAGTAATACAATCTCTCTAGTGCTTCTTATAAGTGAACCATTTCCCAAAGACTAATTAAAATACTGGTATTGTTATCTCTCCACTGGCTGCGTGCCCAAGTCGTCCTCCAAGTTTTTCGGGCCAGATGGACAATGAGCTGTCCCATGGAGAAAGATGATAAAACCCACATGACTTCCTATGAGACAGTTCAGACTACAGTTGCACAGCCATGGAGCAGACATGGAGCAGATTTAGGGCCAGAATTTGTTTCTGAAAAAACACTGAAAGCATAAGATTGCACAGGAAACACCAGACCTGTGTCACACAGGACGGACAAATAATCAGAATTGGGACACTTCCATATGCAGTGTTAAGTATTATTCCAACTGTTGTATTCCAGACATACAGTATTCCTAACAAATACACATGCAAAAAATATCCTTAGATTTATTAGTTGTAAGTACCAACCTGTTTATAAATTATGTTATGTTATATTATGTCAGAAGGTTGCTTGGTTTGTATTTTATCTTTATCTTTCTACGTCATTTTTTCTTTAATGATTTTGATAATAGCTGACAAAGTCAAATGAACAAGGCATAATATACAGACAGGTGACAAAATAAAGGAAAAACCTGAATTAATAAGCAGATAAATATAACAAATACAGATGCTTACATTGAATGTTTTAATAAGAATGAAAATGATGAATGAGTCAAATGACCACCTACGGGAGAAAGGAGAGTGTTCCAGAGACTAGGAGGTTTGTGTTGGTTTTTACTTTATATTGTCACCCATCCGTACGTTCACCAATGGCTGTGCGTCCTGTCACAAATTGTGCCGAATAGAGCTCTAGTGAAGACAACATTAATATATGCTCTGGGTGAAAGCATTAGCCAAAAGCCCCAAATGTAAAATGTAATTTAATATATTTCAATTTGTTTTTGTGATTATTTGCTTTTTTTCCCAGAGCACAAGATAACGATAGAAGAAAATGAAAAATGTTTGTTTTATCCGACCAAAAGTCAAAAACCTAATATAGATAAGGCAAAGATGCAAATTTGAGGAACTGAAAGGAATTTTTCTTAAAAATAATCAAAATGATTAATCTGTTATCAAAACTGTTTATTACTTTTCTGACCATCAACTGATGAATCACTAACTGCGCCAGTCTCTTTTATCTTTTTCAGACCTGCAGTAACATACAGTACGTCATCCCTTACAACAATCCTCTCTTCCGGCACTTTCTTACAATCGCCGCCATCCATGGACCCATCAAACTTTCAGAAGTGTTTAAAATATTTAAGTGCTCAAAGGTTTGTGCCAGAAGAAAAACAAGGAGACTGCTGTGCCCTGAGCACCTGGCAAAACTGTGCCATCCTAATATATCTAGGTCACATGGCTAACATTCCCTTGGTGGCCACTATATAAATCACAGGAATAGATGCGTTACACACTAACATGAATATGCTGTGACTCTCTCCACTATGGCTGACAGCACACCCCAACACAACCGCAAAATGTTGGTCTCAAAAAATGTTATATAACTGTTTCTATTAAAAACACATCCACAATGCATTTCTAACTTAGAAATAAGGGCAATTTTTCCATCACGCTTTAATATTATGTTTGTCATAGCTGTAAAGCAGTTTTTATTTTCATAGTACTGGCACAAATGACATGTAGTAACATAAAAATAAAGACACCAATGTACACTATGTACTAATTTATTTTTTGTCCGCTCCAACGGTATCTATTGATTACTGCGAGGGAACACAGTACACACACATTGCTTGCCTGCGGCTCACATTCCTTCTCTCCCCTTTGTGAAAACACACAATTATGTGTCGGTGAGCCTGTGAGTGAGAGAGAGCGAGAAATCTGACAAGTGAGTATGAGCGAAAGAGACAGAGAGAGATGGAAGTGCTGTGTTGTGAGTGTGAAACTGAGAGGTTTTTTTCCTTCCCTTAAGAAAATCCATCTGTTAGGCTGGTGGTCATCACTTTCAACCCCCCACTCTCCCCTTACCCCAATATAAAAACTCATGTTTATAACCATATTCCTAATCAGTAAGAAGCATCACATTTTTGTAATTACTGCAGAAGAAATTATATTTTGTTTGTTGGTCCTTCAAAATTGTAATGATACAACATTGACAATGTTAACAGCAAAATGGAACATGTAGTGTAGCCAGTATTATTATAGACGTTATACTAACCCTCATGTATTAAAGCAGTATAGCATCACATTAACAAAATGGATAAGTCTGCTGTTGTGCTTTGCCTCCACTCAAATGTATAAATATATATATTTAGAATTATTTTACGGGCACTAATTTCATCATTTCATATTCTTACATGACAGAATAATTCTTCTACAACGCATTCATTTTGGTCGTTCTTACCAAAAACACTGTTATTTAATATCAAGGGAGAACAAAGGGCAGGCATAGGCTATATGGTGTTTACTGTATAAAACCCTTTAAGCACTGGATTTTCTGCTATAAATTGTATCTATTTTAAACATTCTCCTCAGCCCTGAGGAGCAAGCAATTGTGTGGCTACTTGTAACAAATGCTCTGTATTGATTTTATGGAACACACGTTCAGAGAGTTAAATAACACCGTCCAATGCATCACTGTGTGTGTGTCTGCGTGTGCAATTCACTAGAAATCAAATCACTCACTATATTTGATTGCATTTTAATGTAGCACCTTTATTCTCAACCTGCCAATACCTACTTCTATTTCAGAGAGAGATTTTCTTGCGTTTCCCAAAAATCCCCAGGAGAATGTGGTTCTCTGTGCTGCAGTGCATATATACTGTATAGTTGGCAAGAGTCATAATGATGGAGAGGTAAGTTTGAGAGTGAAGGCAGAACAAAGCCATGGGGAGATAGATGACTATTATAGCAGCATCCTCCACACATCCACAGAATAATCCTCACTAAGCTCCTCTCTCACTGCGGATAGATGGTTTCTTATCAGTGACCATTTAACAGTAGTGAAACAGGAAGTTAAGACACAACACCTGCTTATTTTTCTGCATCTGATACTCTTCATGGGTGCTGGTAATCTCTACCAATACACTAGTAATCTCTTCAGTAGTGTCAATCCTGTATCGTGTGTATTTGCTTGCTTTGTCAAAGAATAATATGCTAAAATAAGTCTTTGGATTGATATCTTTAAGGCCATAGATGGTTTCAGTTCATCTCAGGGTGGTAATAAAGTAATTTCTTTTATTAATGCAAAGTACAAAAAAAGTTTTCAAATAGTCATGGCTTTATGTGGCATTTACCACATAACAATAACGCAACTTCAATAAAACTATAAAAAGTGTTCTCAAGCAAATGTCATGTCTGTGCAAGCTGATTACTGGAATAGAAACCAATGGACTCGAAGCAAAACAAATAGCTGATTTAAAAACCTGCTATTCTCGGCTAAAGGTCAGGATGGCTTTAAGTAACAAGATCTGCACTGGAACTTGTGGAACTATTTCATCTGATATAATTTGAAGCAACACCACTGACACTTCTCCATGTAAGCGCATATACCAAAATGAGAATTACACATGCATTATAACGTGAATCTGAACTGCAATTATTCTGCACACACTGTCCAGAATGTCATTTCCTCTTCGGTAGAGGAATGAATCTTCCTGACTTTACTTTTTTGTGGTTTTAGCAGAACTGCAGCACCCACGCAGTGGTCTGTACTGTTCTGAACCTTCATTAAGAAAACTCTCACCACAACTGCCACCTAATCTAATCTCCTCATCACCACCTACTTCCACAGCTCTCTTCCATCTCGCAACAATATTAGGACAGCGCTCACTCCTCCTTCTTTTACATACTCTGTCACGGAGGTTGAATAGTTGCATAACAAACCCATTCCCAATTTGCCTCGCTATTATGTTTTAAATTTTATTCGTCCCTGTCTCTCTGGCTCTATTTTTATTTGACTCCAGGTTCACCTGGCTAATCCGTTATTTGTAACAATCTGTTCTGCAAGTCAAAAAGACAACCTCTTATCATTCAAAAACTGTTGTTAACCACAAAACAATATGACCCATTTACTCATAGACACAGACAGAGATGCAGGCTTTTAGAATTTGTTTACCTTTTTATTCATTGAATCATTCAGTCTCTTTATTCCCCTTATGGGGTGTTAAGTGTTTGTCTATTGTTTTGCTCAGGTAACAATAAATGTTTGATATATATTAATAATGTATAATCCTAACATCTATTTTTGATATTAAGAGTGATGTTGCAAGACTTTTGTATAACAGTCAGATTTCATCAGGTGCTCCAGCAACTCTCTTGAAAGATTAGGTCAACACTGATATTTTAAGGTGTTGTCCTTTGATACACCGATCAGCCATAACATTATGACCACTGACAGGTGAAGTGATTATCTCGTTATCATGGCACCTGTCACTGGGTTGGATATATTAGGCAGCAAGTGAACAATCTGTC